GCAGTCCAGGTTTCTACCGCTAGAGGGCAGTAAGGGACCCTGAACGTGACAGTCACCTGACCGTCGGGGAAGCACAGTGACCTACATAGCTGCAGCAGGTCTAGGCATGTTGTCTCGGTCACTAGCACACACATGCATGGAGCAACAGTCTGCAAAGTGAAAGGCTTTTATTGGCTTTTATTGGCTTTTATTGGCTACAATATCTATACAGATATAGTATCTATACTGCCAATAATCATGTGTTTGGACAACTGATGTTGATTGTAGCAACTGTTACTGTTTGACACCTTTGTGTGTGTGTGGCCCGTTCTGGAGTAAATGACATCATCTCTTGGCATGCAAGCATGTCTTACCTCTGTTTGCCAGCGCTCTCATAGGTTCAGTGTGGTGGACAGACTGTAATGATACTGCCCACAGAGCCATTATCCATCCATCCAGTGTTGCTTTTGTTTATTCCTGCAATCAGCATTCAACATATCTGTGTCTTTTACACCTACATTACTTGGAACGATAAATATTTAAAGATGAAAAGATTGGTTGATCAATCTGAAATAATTAATGAATGAATTAATCATTTAAATCATTTTTCAGGCAAAAATGCCCAAAATTCACTGCTTCAGGCTTCTCAAATGTGATGATTTTATGCTTTTCTTTGTTCTATATGACAGTGAACTGAATATCTTTGGATTTTGGACTGTTGAATATATCATCTTGGGCTCTGGGAAGTTATAATGGACATTTTGCACTATAAAGACTAAAAATAATGATAAGAAATAATAGGCTACATAAGAATAATTGTTAGTTGCAGCCTTTATATATACCAGTATATACATTAATTGGGGTATTTTGCCAAATATTGCAATCAGAAATCCTCTGAATATTGATAGTAACAATCATTTGAGAGCTGGTAAAAGGCCCCAGACATAATGTGAAAGAATCCCGAATTTATTCTATTGCAAATATGCTGCACAACATGTATGAAAAGTGCTAGGCCCATAGATCTCCATATGGGGCTATAATTGTGTTGCATAAGAGATGGTGTGAACTTAATTGATTTTGACATTGGCTTTGGAGCCTGTGCAGTGTCACTTGATGACCTGGCAGATTTAGGGCGCTGTGTAAAAAGTAACCCCGGATTATCCCGTGACCATGTTTTAATCTGCTTGATTCTAATCTCTTCATCAATGGCAAGAGAGAAGCGTGTTAAAAAGAGCAGGGGGTTTGCACTGTGTTTAAGTCATCCGGCTGATTATCCAGAGCGAGGGACCGGGAATAGAGATAGACAGCCAGAGGAAGAGTCTGCATGCTTTTAATTACTGGACCAGATGATTTCACCGATTGTCACACCTTCAGTATGAGAGGAAGAACGAGCTAGCCAGTGACATCAGTGTTTGTTTTGCTTGGCTGGAATGAAACCAAACTCTCTTCTCTGGTCTGTGACTAGAATCTGAATAAGGGAGCAGGAAGAAGTTTCACTGTCTTCCTGATAAGGTTTGAACGTGCAGTCTCACCACCTCTCACACGCTGGCTGCGCACCATTAAAGACAGAGATCTGCAGGCAAATGCAAATGCAGAGAGAGCCCTACTGTGGCCAACAAGCCAGTTTATCACCTGCCTATGCTGGTTTATTACACATATAGCTGCCTTTTAAAAGAGCAGCTTAATGTAGCCTCAAGCAGAGATGAGGAATGTAAAGGTCTGGTAAGATCACTTCTTTACAACTTTAGATTTTTAAACTTAAGCTCCAACCGACGCTGACTCAAGTGACATCTCTTGAAGCCATAACCAAACAGATTTTGATGTATAAAATCAGTGGAGTTCCCCTTTGAGTTCTTGTAAATTGAAATCTTTTAGTTACAAATATAACATTCTCCCTGCACCAAAAGTAGTTTATACAAAAAGCGGAAGTTGTTCCAGTTACAGCTCTTCAATTCATTAGCATACTGTATTAATATGGCACCATTATCCTTCCCTTTACTTTAACATTAATTATATGAAGTTGTGGCTTCACTGCTGTCAAACCCCTGAATGCCCCATGCTGGCCTCCTAAAATGTCCAAGATATGAAGTCAAGTACTTTTGACAACCTGCAGGACTTTTATTATTTCAGTCAATGTAAATACCGATATATCGCAACAGCCCTAATTACCGCACAGTAAACCGAGGTCCATGTATTGTTCCATATTAATACAGTAAGTTTCACACTACACAAAGAGATTAAGAAATGGGGGGCTTATAGGAGCCCATTAGCCTTATTTTGCCCCTGGGCCCCCTTAGCAGGCTATTCCATCCATTAAATACTATACTATACAACTATGAAGTATACTACAATAAAAGAAAAATTACAGTGCTGTCAAGCCTCACTACTTTCCAATGTTTTTTGTGTTAATGCTTGAACTTGAATTTGTAGTACCAAGTATTTTTGGTTTGAAAAAATGGAGCAAAACATTTTTTGTAGTAGCCAATGTTTTCCTCCAAAGCCAAATTGCACATTGCCGTCATGTCATGCATATTTATTTATGTCAAATCCATTAAGATTTTTTATTACTTTATACTGCAGTTCTATAATGTAAATCTAAAAATCCATGTAAGTAATATCCTTAATGGATTTGATATAAACAAATATGCATGACAAATGTTAAAGAGGTAGAATTCTGTACAAACACACAACACCATTAGCTGTTAGTGGTAGTTAAAATCATTACTACCAGTGGTTAATGCAGCAGCTCACATTTTAAAACCATCCACGGACATTTAAAGCCCATAATGTTGTTGTTAGCCCTGATGACAGCTGTGATAATCTGTCTATGGAGAAACGTCAAGCTGGTGGCAGCCAGCCTTGCTGTGACGTTGGTGCAGTGATTAGGTCACCTTCTGATTCATATTCTGATTCAGAGATTGTAATCATGACCATGCCTTTGTCACCTGAGGGTGCAAACACTGCACCTGTTTCATGCTGCACTGACAGCCAGCCAAACACACAGAGAGGATGCAGCGTGGTGCTTGTTTCACATGAAAGTGTTGCCTGTAGTTGGTGATTAACAGGTAAACTGGAGTGAAAAAACTTGGCAGACAAGCATTTTTGTATGCTTTTATTAACAGATGCTGTTTTTTCCCCACACAAATTACAGCTTGAAACCAAATGCATGCTACATTTTTACCTCATAAATCAGCATGAACATTTAAAGATGGGTTTTTCCTCTGCTTATCTGGTTGTCATACCTAACAGTTCAGGGAACAAGTCAGCAAGTAGCTAGTATGACTCCAAAGCGAGCTGAATTCCCAGACTGTAAAACCAGAACGGTTTTACACCTTTTATGTATTTTGTCACTCACAACGGCTGAAGGAAGTTGTGTGTGACAGTTTGCACATGTGTATGACTAATGGGAGCCATTTCAGTAACACCTGAGTCAGCCTTATGGGCCTAAAATAGAACAATTCACAGATTTACCTAAACACCAGAATATGTATTGTTTTCCTGTATTAGAGAGTTTACTCTCATACTGTACGGTATAATACAAATGCAATTCAATAGAAAGTGCAATTCTGCAGGTGGTGTGAAGGTGAAGCAGGGAATGATGGGTCAATATTGGCCCTGAGGTTAGTTTAAGTCAATATCACTGCGGAGGAAAAGCTGCTCCAGTATGTGCAATTGGTATTAATCATCTATTTGATTTGTTTGTCTAACCACAAATCATTCAACTTAAATTGGTGAAGTATGTATTAGTTTGTATTTACTCGACAGAGGTTTCTAACTGACCACATCTTCAATGCAGCTGAATCATCTAGGGTTGAAAATGAGTGCAGATACCTTATACTGTCTATTTGCTTATATAAAATCATATTTTATCAAACAAACTGTGACTGTATATACTGTATTATATATATTTGTAGATATTTGTGTTGATAGCAGCATATAGAGGAACATATCCCAGTGTCCAAAGTATATATGCAGTATGTACTATTCTACAATCACAGTCTGATCAGTTTTTGTATGTTTGGAAATACATCTCAGCATATAGTGTATAGTGAATGTGAGATCTTTTTTGAAAGGTTTAATAGGGTCAATATTCACCATGCAATGCTTTTTCTTTCTCATTTGTTTTCAAATTAGCTTTATTTGCATGACCATATACTGTAAACAAGGGTTACAGAGCAAGCATAATAATCCAGAATGAAAGAAAAAAAAAAACTACACTAATACACAATGCCACAGATTTAGATGTTAAATTTATTGTTAATAATAAATACAAGACTAAAGACTCAAAAAACTATAGGTTTTATTGTACTAAAAAGTAGTGGTGTAGTTCCAGATTACAACTCAAGAGACTATGGTAGCCGCAACATGCACGAAAAAAGCTTACGCCTCTATGTAGAGTCAGTGTTTGGTTTGTCCATTCCGGGCAACTGTAGAAACATGGCGGTTCAACATGGTGGCCGCCACAGAAGGTGACTCACGGAGTCTGTAGCTACGAAAGGCTCATTCTAATGTAACAACATTTTACATTTTAATTTGATTATACACTAAAGAAAACATATTTATGCATATTTCATTCCATTTCTGCCTAAATATCCTCATAAATGTTACACAGTGGACATTGAAAGTCTATCACTTAAAATTGGGCTACATTAAATGACTTTCCGTATTTAACATGTTATTTTTAAATGTTTTCAATCTAAATTAATGGGTTAAATTTGGCAGAATTTGACACCAGCAGCTTTGGGGGGAGTACCTGCCACCCTATGCCACCTCTCTTAGATCCGCCCCTGCAAACCAGTTCCAACACAACCTTTAAAAACAACAAATAAATCTATTACAAAAATAGAATAATACGCAAAAGAAACACCATATAGGCCTGTACCAATATAGTGTGCAGTAGTAGCAGTATAGTAGAGTCAATTTAAGAGTAGACATAATAGCAGCAGACTATGGCCAGCCCCTCTCTCTCTCTCTCTCTCTCTCTCTCTCTACGTCCTCTAACTGAAGAGGCGTTGCTCGCTGCTTTCTGCTCATTGTGCGACTTCGGCGAGAGAAATTTCCGCTTCCTGCACCGACAAACACCAACCAACACGCAGCGAGCAGACACGAAGTTGAGGCGCAGGCGGAGGGGGGTGGATAGCGAGAGGGCACACAAGGCGGACGCGGGGGATTCACCGCCTGTCTTCGGGTACAAAACCCCCGGCGACTGCAATGTGTTCACTGCCAGGCGGCGAATAGCACGAAACCGACCAACTTTCCGTTTTGCATTGTACGCGGGAGCGTTTTTACGCATTTGCACCACCAGGAGCCTGACAAAATAAGCTTAAGGAAGGAGGAGGAGGCACCCAACAACAAAAAAACACACAGACACACGGAGAAGCCAGGCTACTACGGGTATTCCTCCTATCAACTCCGCCTGAAAGCCCGTTTTCAGCCTCCAGGATGTCGGAGCGAGGAGGGCTCCCGCGGACTGGGGGCGTCCCTTCGCCGCACATGCAGCCCTCCAAGCCGGTCAGCATCACCTCCAACCGGCCGGTCCACATGAACCTGTACGCTACCTGGGAGGTGGACCGCTCCTCACCCAGCTGTGTGCCGAGGTATGTGAAAGGGGGGGTGCATGACTTATCATTTTTGTGGGTGCTTGTGAATTGGGAATGACCCAGTCTGTGTGTTTACACTGGGGGATTTAAAATAGACAAACACCCACGGGTGCCTATTTGAAAAGATTAACACCTCAATACGAGAGCATTGTTGCTGTTAATGGACTGTGAAGGTCACATTAATAATAAGCACTCCTTTCTTTGCTCTAAGTAGGATATTTACTTGTCATGACCCCTTTTAGCCCCTCTAGAACCCTTGAAGGTCCTCAGACCCCAGTTTGACTACCTCATTTCATCCAAATAATCATTACCCAGTAGCTTTCAGTGTTAGAGATGGCACCAACATATGCCCTGGTTTATATACATAAAGATGATCTGTGTGGGGGCAGCAGATAGCCTCAGTTGTTGCCCTCCTAATCAATGCAGACATAGATTGATGAAGCAACGGGTTGCAGACTGTCACTGCAACTATAGAAGGGCATTTTATTTCCATGTATGTGTTACAGCTGTAACACCAGGCGCTGTGATACACTGGTTTGTAAAGAAAGAGGAGCACAGGAAAGATGTTTTGGATGATTCTGCGGGCAGAAATGAATCGTGTTTGGTCGAATGCCTGTTTTCCTGACATGTTGGGTCACGGCAGACTATGATGCAGTGAATGTGTGTGTGTTTGTTGCGTGTGGACAATGCAGCAAGGGCACAGTGGGCGAGACACCTTATCCACCTTAGCTTTAGTGCCAAATAAAGACATTCGAGTGGGCTTTCTTTGTTTGACTGAAAGGCTGTAAAGGGATTCAGCCGGCTGACGTGTGACTCTTCATCACGCTGCTGACAGAGGCGGACTCACTTGCTCGTGCGACCTGTGGTAGTTTCATCTGCATGAAAAGACACATATCGGATGTGATGCACCTGTATGTGCTCCAGCCGACGTCTGTTCCCTTGTATTTATGATGTCATAGTAATAACCGCGGTCATGAGTTGGACTCAAGGTCAAAGGTTAACCGCCGCCACTGAAGTGCCTCATGTGATTCACAACCCCGGCTGAGCATAACAGAGTGAGAGCTGATGATGGAGCAAACAGCAAATCAACATTGTTTTGTTTGCAGAATTGATTCGTTTGTATCATTTACACTGACAAAAAAACATTTACATGATACAATGTGTTTACCTGTTAAACCTCGCTTGTAAATCTTCCAACTTTACTGCTTCTTTCTAGCCGGAAGACTGAACTGCAGCCTTCCAGATGAGCTCAGATGTTTAAGTTACTGAAAGCAATTAGTGGGAACAGAGCATGCTGGTAAAAGCATCATACAAAGCTCGCAGGCTGACATCTTAATGCCGCTTTTTAAAATGCTTTGGGGCTTACTGGGTTAGAAGCAAAGCCTCAAGGGTATGTTTTGCTTCTTAACATTTTGGCTGAGTGAGTGTGTGTGTGCACGCCATGTGCTTGTGAATAAATGATACAGTCCTGGATCTATATTTTGGTACAGCTTGCATGAATAAAACATCCATTGTTAGCCTACATTTTAAAATCTTTCCTCCTGACCTTTCTTTTGAGATACGGATTATTACCTTCTTTGTGTTCGCGCGGTAATATCCACAGCCGATTATGAATATTTTTCCGTCATGCTTTGGAAATGGGGCCGTGGACACTTTTTGGGCCTTATTTCAGCAGCCGTCACGGTCCGTCAAATATCTTCGATTTCACTGCGGTTGCAGCAGCGGAGACGGACTCCCAGAGCCAGAAAATGGAGAGAGGATGAGACTGGGAGATGGGAGAAGAAGCAGCCCTGCCATCTACATTTAAATAGGATTTCTCACAGACACAGGCAATAGGAAAGTCTACAGAAGCAGTGGTGACAACTAATCTATGCCACAGTCTTCCACAGCTAGAAGAACCTGCATCTACTATAGGCTAAAATTCAGTCCTGATGCTGTTTTGCAGTCAGCAGAATGTTGCATACTTGCCTCCTCTTGTTGCTTAATCTTTTTTGCTGCAAGAAGGACTCCGAACTTCCCTCCCCCCCCCAAACCGAGGTGTTGTTGCTCTAACCTCTTCCTGTCTACCCAAAATGCCACATGGTATGCTGTTTATGCAGCGCCGTGGATTGAATTTACCCCGGCAGGCACAAACATGCAGTGAGCTGCCCACTCCAAATCCCAACTTTGTAGCTCAACCTGGAAAAATACTGAAGACATACACCAAGGATTGTTTGTTTTTGTGGGATTTTTGGTCACACTCAGTGGGGAGTAAACAGGAAATATACAAGAGTGAGAGATGATATCACATTCGAGCAGCCGTGAATCAAATTTTTGCGAGTTCACTGTATCAGTCTTCAAGTATGAGCAATCGGGACAGCAGGTTTATTTGTTTTGAAGGGCACAGAAGCAGAAGCAGTAGCAGTCTTCTGAAAACAGCTCCACCCTTCCTCGTGTCCATCAACGCAGCGTGAGTGCCTCTGAGGTCATTTCTGTGTTCAGCATTCCTGACCTTCTATTCTATTCTATTCTTTACTAGAGAGGAATACATCATTCCACTGGCTCCAAACCAGCCCTTTTAGTGTGGTGTAGTGGGTGATTCCTCTCTCCGCTGTCTCTTCTAGGCTCTGCAGTGTCATCAACACACACAGACACGCGCACACATACGGGTGCTCGGCGCTATCCCCTCTGCTCGGTTCATCGGTTCTTTCTCCCTCACCTCGGGGGATGAAACCATCATTTTCTGGCAGCAGAATAATCCCACTGATGAGTACAGTAGCTGCCCTACCAGGCTCCGATGCCTCACCTCCCTCATCTAGAGGCTGTAGTGAATAAAGATTAGCAGTTCTCAGGTGTATTTAGTGTTACTGTCAGGTGGAATGACGATGGTGTCCGCCAGTCTTCACACCACAAATGGTTTGGATTCCAGCATCCAGCAGAGTTTAGTTAAGGCCTCCTTGTGCAGCTACTCTGCGCCAGGTATTCCAGGAATGGGCCCTGTCGCAGAGCTCGCCGCCTTGCATTATTAAAGGTCTCCTTAAGGAGCTGAGTGGAAAGCCCCATGACTTAGGTCCATAGATGGATGCTGAGTCTTTTCAGTGTGTCTTCCAAGTCATGAGCGAGTGGGAAGTCTCTGTCCCAGAGCAACCACAGATCTTTGGGAAGGAGTGTGGAAACAATTTGGACCGTAAAGAGGAAATGTTTAACCTTTTTGGTTTGTGATACCTTTAAAATAAAGCTTTGTCTACTTCTGACTAATTGATTTACTAATTGATTATTTTCATTACAGAAAATTATGTCGATTGTTTGGTCCATAAAATGTCATGTCTGTGGGTTAAGTATGGAGCTAGAGACGGGAAGTAATTAACTTAGACTGGAAGCAGGGTGAAACAGCTAAATTCTTTAAGAATTTCTATTTAATATACTTTTACCTGTTTGAGCAGCTCACTGACACTCCCAACACTGCAATATGCGTAATCTCCCCGATCAGTGAGGACAGAACCCTCCCAGGGGGTTGTGGGATGATTTGAAGGGCCACACAACATGATTAGATGAACATGTACGTATTAGAATTGTGAAATACTGGTTACCCGCCACTGATTTTTAATCAAAGACACAATCATGAATGGTTTACCACATCTTGGGGCTGCTTTGTTTCAAACACTCATGGGCCAGAAATTTGATTTGTACACCGTAATACAAACCATTCATAGCAATCTGGATCTAAAAATCAGTCGTGCCAGTGTCTTTGATCAAGGACACAAAAAGTGTCAGGAACTGGCAAAATGTTTTAAATGGTCAACATGTTTGTAAGTGTTATATTTAAAGCCAGTTCTACTCCTGAGCTCTTTGAATGTTCCTCAAAAAGAGCATCAGCTGAAAGCCTAAACGTTTAGAGCTAAAAATAAACATATAAATAAGTGAAAACAGCAGGGTCACTGCATTAAAAATAAATGTTTATCTACTGGGCTGGTAATGAATACTGTTGGTATGAAGAAATGCAGGATGTTCTGAATTATACATTGTGCATTTGTTAGACTCGTTTTCTATAATTGCCCCGCAACACAATAGTGGGATGACATTCGTTCCTCGAGTGTCCGCGTTACACTATCCACCCTGCCCCCTAAACCCTGGCTGCTGAACACACACACACACAAATGGAAAGAAATGGAGAGAGCGCCAACAGGCTATCGCATACATGCCCACACATGCAAATGGGGTAGTAATGTTCATTAAGAGACTTTGGCTTTGCCACTTGCCCTGGCGCTGCTCATTCTTCCGCACAGCTGAGTGGCCGAGAGGTCTGAAGTTTCCTCTGTCAGCTCACTTGCTGGAGATGAAGGGAGATAGAGTGCAAACTGCTCCTCCTCCTCCTCCTCCTCACCCTTACTTTCCATGATTACTTACTATTTCTTATAATAGCTATCCACCTCCAGTCTCAGGGAGCGATGGGAGCGGATGAGACCATTATTGCTTTTTTAATGTTTATCCAATGGCTTTGAAAAAGATAAAGGGATGGGTTTTTATTAGTGTTATTCATAGGAACAATATTGCAGTTGAAAGGGCCAGCAAGTAAAATTGTTGCAGTGAAGGGAGTCATGTTTTTCTCAACAGCTTGGAGGCTGGCAGGTTGTTAAAAAAAAAAAAAACCTGCAGTGAAACCTCTCACCCAGCTTTAAAAAGCTTCTAACCCACTCAAAAGAATTTCACTGGTGTGTCTTTCAGTGCCCAAATAGTGACTTAAATGCTCTTTTATAAACCTTCCTAAGAATAGAATTCGCAGGGTAACAGTGTGGGTTTGGAGGGTTGAAAATGAGTCCAAAGAGAAATATCAATATTGCTATCAGACTTTAAAGCTGTTATTGGTTGAGCACTGATTATAATGTACCCACTCTGGTTGTAACAGTATAAAATATCTGACACTTATCTAGACATGGATGTAAATGCTACAATTGAATGATTTTCTCTGGCTGTTGAGAATTTTTAGACAGTTTTTTGTCTTTTTCAGCTCAAATTAA